ACACACACACACACACACACACACACACACACACACACACACACACGCACAGTGTTCCTTAGACCCCACCTGACTGCTCTTCCTCTAGTCAAATAATGTTATTACTATTGAGTTACTACCATGTAGACTAGGCATTGTGTGTTCCAGTATTGGCTCTAATTACTCCCCAGCAGCCCTGTGAGGTAAGTTTTATTGTACCCATTTTCCTGGTGGGAAAACTGAGCCTCAGAGAGTTTTGTAATTTGCCTAGCATATGCCATTATGAAGTGGCCAAACCAGTATTCTGAATGGTGTGTCAGCTCCATAGCCTGTCCCTCTCAGCACTCTGAGTCTGGTAGGCATGGCTGGGATTGCCTGCATCTGTGGTCTTTTGTATTTCCTCCATAGCAGGAGCCTGCTCTTTTGGGAAAGGTCTTTCAATCACTGTGCTTATTTGTTCTACTTCTCCTTTACTAATTCCTGTTTATATTCAGAAGCCCGGCTGATTTTCCTTCCAGATATGTCAGTCCCTGTAAAAGCAACCAGCTGTCTTCCAGGCCCTTCACCTTCTCTACGTGATAACAATCTTCATCCGCACAGACCCAGAGCTCTTTTAAATCATGGAGGTGACTGGTTAGGAGTCAATCAGCAGAGCTACTCAATAATGACCTAAAATGGAATTGGAAAGCCCACTGGGGGGTTGAAATGTTTAAGAAAATGTAATTGAGTTTTCTGTTTATCTTTCTCAGTGTGTGTGGGTTTTTTTTTTTTTTCCTGATTGATGAATGGGTTTTCTAGCTAACTCAGTTCACATGAGATTGAGGGACAGGATGTAGGAAAAGAGTCCTATGCTGCCATGGACGAAGTGCTGATGTTGAGCCTGTGGGTGAATAAGATAGATGGGTGCAGGAAGAGAGTTCAAGGGAAGAAAAGGCAATAAAATTTCAGTTCTTTTACAAACTCACTAGTTGATGTAAGAACAATTACTGCTTGGGTAATGGGAATATCTGGACTTTGCATGGGTGGGAAAGCCTCTGTCATCTGTGTGGGTTGAGCCACACACACAGGGCTGAGACTCTTAAGTGGCTTGCAAACGCAGACTTTCAGCCACTAGCCTTTTACCCTGATTGCTTTGCCCAAAGAAGGGAGACATGTCAGGGCGGTTTGACACGTTCCTTTGAAGATCCAATGTTTACCTTACTTTGCGGGATTATTTTTTTAAGACAAACAAAAACAATCCCCCCCAACTTTCTCAGTCACTCAAGTCATTAAAAAATAATTGCATGTTCTTTTAGGCTTTTTCTATGAATAGCATACATTGGTTTTAAAACTTGGGTGGTAATATGTAAACTACCTTTTCTCTTTCCTTCTTAAAGTGAAGTTCCTCATCTTTCCAAGACTTCTTACTATGTTAAGAAAATTGACTAGAATACTTGCTAGGAATTTCAGTTTTTAAAGACACTCAAACCATGAGGTGTTCTGTGATACAGGGAAAGGAGGAATAGTATGTCTTCCTTTTATTCATTCTCATCTAAGGGAATAGCTGGGGGAGACAGTGTTTGAAAAGGGAATGTTGTGAACCAAGGGGAGGTTTTAAAACCCTCTGTTGTCTGGTCTTCTTGGCCACTGTCTTCTTCATGACCTGCTTGCTTCTAATTCCTTTGGGAAGCAGGAAGAGAGAGCAGAGAGAGGGTATGATTGCTTGTGCCGGAATGTGTCATTTACTTCTTGAAATGAAAAGGTGAGAGTAGAGATTTTTCTTGTTGTGTGTGTAGATGTTGATATGGAAACAAAGTGGAGTATAAGACTAAAATGGAGATGAGCTCATTAATGCTGACCACTTCATGACCAAATTAATAGAATTTTATTTTTGTTGTTGTTGCTCTGGGACTCACAAATAGAATTTGACTTTGAAAAAATAGTTCTTAAAAATCACAGCTTTTCTATTGTTATACCAGAAATCATTTTTAAAGTATCAAATGCATAATAATGTCACTTTGTGTTTAAAAATACTTAATGTTAGATATTATCTTGTTTAAAGATAATCAGTACATCTCTACAAAGAATTATATGATTGAAAATGTAACAAGTTAGAGATTTAAATATTAAACAAGAAAGAGCAAATCAAAGAACAGAAGGTAAGAAGGAAAGGAGAAAGGGAGGGAAGAAGGAAAGAAGGGAAGAAAGAAAGAAGAAAGGGAGCAAGGGAGGAAGGAAGAAAATAGGGATGAAAGAACAAATCAGGGAAACTGAAAGCATAAATATAATTTGTCAAGACATTTTCTGAAGCAAAGTCTTAGCTTCAGAATATCTGAGTTTTTTTAAAGAATTCAATATATATATATATTCGTTTAATTAAAAATATTGCAAAGGTTATCTACAGAGGGGTATGATTACCTGATTTAGGTAATGAGTTCATTAGGATTCAAAATATTTTGAGACTATTTATCTATCTAAGCTGTGAAAGGTCAAATGGAATTTATATCAAACTCTTAATTGCATGGATGGCTGCTATCTGTAGCTTTGTCTTCTCTGGTATCTTCCAGAAGGCATCTCAAAAGCCATCAAATCAGGCTCTGACATGTGACATTTGGGCCCATGGAAAATCAGGTACCATATTCAATTCTGAATTTGAATCAAGGTCTAATTCTGGGCCCTGGAGAGGAGATGATATAACCAACATGAAATTGTCTGAAAGGTAAAAACATTTCTTCCAAACTTATGCGTTTAACAACTATGATTCCTTTTATCAGGTGAATTTGACAAAGCACATGAACAAACATACAAGATTTCCTGCCTGTTGTCAGGATAGAAATCACCTGGTATCAGATGCCATGTCTCTCACATTGTTCCCAGAGTGAATCTCAAGTTGCATACATTATGCCAATATAGACAAAACTGGTTGTTCTTAAATATTTAGTTTCAATTCTTCCAAATCTACAGATTATACTTGTGGGCATTCCTCCTCCTCAATAACTGAAACCAAGTTTACTGTTTAGTTTTACTTTAGTGGTTCAGATAATTTTTACTATTTAGCTTTGCAGTTACCATGAGTTTTGCCAACTTAGTTGTTTAAATATCAATGACAAAAGCAGGGGTAATATAATCATTATACTCAATAATTTCTAATAGGAAGCAACCTTGCAGATTGTCACTGGTCTGTGAGCTGATAGTATAAATCGTTCAGTTTGTTAAAAATGTAAGAGTCGTTCTTTACCTTCATTACACATTTCTGCATTGGTTCATTATGGAACAATGAGAAAAAAGCCAAGGGGAATTTTGCCCCTAAGCTTGTGCTTGAGACATTTGAACCTTATCAACCTTTACTCCTTTATACATGTTAATAAATGTTCCCAAGGAGATTTACCTCTTCTCTGCAGTTTGATCTCTCATATTGTAAAGAAGATGTTTTCTAGGGACAGCTGGCAACTCCCTACTTTCCTTGCATATGACTAGCTTTGGCTAGGTACATGGTATCTTATTTGAAGCTAACTTAGTAAGGAAAGAATGTTGGATTACCCAAGGCAATTAGCTCAGCCTCTAATATAGTCATCATAGGTCTTGCTTGAGATGAAATAAGTTGGTGATCTTGTCCCAGATGAAATGATGGATGGAAGACCTTAGTTGTCCAAGTTGACCCTTTGGCTTTGTGATAATAACATCAGAACAAAAACAACTCTCCCCGTGTCATCCTTTTTCATGGCAGTGTTAGGACTCGTTTGTTTGAGAATCTGATTTATGTGGAGCATTACAAGAGAGACAGGGCTCACTCTGAGTGAGCTCATGTTTACCATGAGCAAAATGGAGACTGATAGAAAGTTCTTGTTTATCTAAAACTGAGGGCCAAGATGTAAGATAACAACATAGCATTTCAAAAAACCTTTCTGTCCAAAATGAGGAATGTAGCAAGGTGCTAAAGCATGACCATAATGACATGAACAGGGAAAATTTTAACCATGGCCCAATCCTGAATATCTCATTTGGAAAGAACAAAGATACAACTGGAAAAAAGAGACTTACATAGTACTTAGGATCCTAAAATGTTAACCATGGTTAATAGAATGTGAGATCATTTTTGGATGTGGAGAAAGTAGGTGAAATGAAAAAGAAAGATTTATTTATGAATCTTCCTTCCCTGTTACTAGTAACAACTTTCACCACAAAGGCTTACTATTTCAAATACTTCACCAAAACATTTAGATGAGAAAACTGAGGCTCATATAACCTAAATAACTGACATCTAACTGTGTACACAAATACACATGCATATGAAGGTAGAGTTTATCTTGATTAAGTGGAATTGATCAATCAGTGAGAATTTCTCTCCACCCCCACTGTAAATTAGTGGACAGATCAGTAAATAGCACAGTTTTCCTAAAAATAATTGCAATAACAGTAATTACAAAACATCAATCTTTGAAATTTGATCTTTGTTTTCTTTTTCATTTTCCTGACAAGTAACAACCAATGAGTTGTTACTGGTAAAAAAAAAAAAATGGTTCCCAGGTCCTGGCAGGATTTCAGTTTAGAGAGAACACTAACATGTTTGTTGACTTGACTGCCAGAACAAATTTGTGAATTCATCCTGGAAACTCTAGAAAGAGTTTCCACCAAACACAGTGGAAACATAAAGCTTATTTTTCTTACTCCTCAATTAACCAGAGCATTCCAGTTCATTAAGTGTCCTGTATTGATCTGGTACATTTTAAGGAATGGAAAGGACCGTGTGGCTCGAACAGAGTGAAAGCCTAGAGAGTGACGGATGACACTGGAGAGGGAGCAGAACAAGTTCATAATGCATTTTCTAGGCTCTCTAAAAGAGCTGGGGTTTAATTACAGTGCAAAGAGAAGTGGTCAAGAATTCAGAGCTAGGGAGCATAATGATGTAACTTGTAATTTTAAAAGACCATCCTGGCTGTCCAGTGTAGTCAGTGGAAGAGTACACTTGAGGCCAGGATGCTCTGGACTTAGATGATAGCAATGAAATTGGAGAAAAGGAATGTATTCAAGGCACATTTTGGTAACAGGAATTATTGGATTTGATGATAAATTAAATGTGAGAAAAAGAGAGAGAAAGAAGAATGGAGAACTCAATGCTCCTGGCTTGAGCAACGAGAGAGAAAATGGTGACACTTGTTAGGAAGAAGAAGATGGGCAAGGGAGAAGGCATGAAAAAGATAATATGGATCTCAGTTATGGATATGTTAAGCAGCTATCCAAATCTAGGCATATATCAAATATATCAAGCAGATGGAGGTTCCGATTAAGAGGTCAAAAGAACTATTTGGAATAATGATATACTGTAAATGTGCAGCCAATGATATATCGTTGATTGCTGAAACTTTGGGATTTAGAAGACTTTGGAGATTAAAATGTCACTTGAGAAGAAAAAAAGTGCTTAGCATTATGCTATGAAGAGTTCATTATTTGGCAATCTAGGGGAGGTAGTAAAGCCCATAAAGAAAACAGAGAGGAAGCAATCAACAGGGGAAACAAAGGAAGAATACTTCAGAAAAGAGGAAGTGGGCCATTCCATCAGCTGGGATTAAGTAAAGTGAGTTTTGCATTGCAATAGTAACTGGATTATTTTCTACAAAATGTCCTATCCTCTAGGTAGTCTCAAAATTAAGGATGTGTTAAAGCTTCAGAGCATAATATTGGACAAATATTAAGAATTTAATGTTAGTTTAAAAATATAATGAATGCTTATCAAATCACTTTTTAATCTAGCTATGTTATTGGTGTTGAGGTATGGACTCAGGACAAGTGAGGGTTTCTCGTCTACTTGACATTCTTTAGTGGAATTCATACAAAATGCAACATTCAAAGGTCAAAAGCTATGTACATATGGCCATATAAGATGATGCTAAGTGAAATGAACCCCAAGATAGGAACACAAGAGGTTGTATCTTTGCTGTTGTTGTTTTTAATGTACTTATAATGTACTATGTGATTTTTCTTGTTTCTTTTGTACATTCTTCCCCCACGGTATAACCCCTGTCTTCACTGTATTCCTGTATCTTGCATCTTGCATATGCATTTTTCTAATTTGGGGAGGGGGAGGGAAATAACAAAATGCTGAAACAAGGATACTGGTTGACCCATTGTAACAGTGAAATGTACAAGACACTATGCTCAAAAGGAACTTTACAACTTTGTGTTGGGGAGGGAGGAGTTGGGGAGGTGGGGAGGGAAGGTATGGTTGGGGAAAAACAAAGTACAGGGTAACAATGCTCCATAGGAAATGTACTTATTACCTTACTCATGTAACTGTAACCCCTCTGTAAGTATTTTCACAATAAAAATATATATTAAAAAGTTTAAAAATGCAACGTTCTTCTCAAAGCCTGTCCCTTCCTTCCTTCCTTCCTTCCTTCCTTCCTTTTTTTCTTTTCTTTCCTTTTTTTCTTTTGGGGTGTGTGTGTGTGTGTGTGTGTGTGTTTGTGTGTGTGTGTGTGTTGGTCCTGGGGCTTGAACTTACAGTTTGGGCTCTGTTCCTGAGATTTTTTTTTTTTTTGCTCATGGCTAGTGCTCTATCACTTGAATCACACCTCCACTTCCAGCTTTTTGCTAATTAATTGGAGATAAGTGTCTCAAGGACTTTCCTGCCCAAGCTGTCTCTGAACAATGCTCCTCAAATCTCAGCCTCCTGAGGAGCTAGGATTACAGGTGTGAGCCATAGGTGCCTGACCTAACAATTTTTTCCAATGTTATTTAACAGCATTTTTGGAAGGTAGATTCAATAAGAAGATTCTGAGGGTACCAAAGGTTATATTGAGTTTTAACCATCAGCTTTTGCTCTGAGGACTAGACCAGGAAGTGGGAACCCCTTTAAGAATAAGGCAGGAAAAGTGCCAACTTTAAATATAGTCCTCTAAGTTTTCCCTTTAGGAAACAAATGAGCAAATTGGCTTCATCAATTCACGATTATTTTGAGATAGGGAAGAAAAACCTCTGGACTAAAATGGACAAGAAGTGACATCCAAAAAAGATGAAGAGATTTCTGGCAATGGGGGACCCACACATCCAGTGTGAGAGGCAGAGAAAGAGAGAACAGGGGCACATGCCACATGGAGAGAAGCTTGTCACAGTGAAGTGCAAGAATATTTAGTGGGAAGAGACCACAGTTTGGAACTTGGCTGACAGAGTACCATTATTATGTTTCTCCTAATCAGAGATAATAATGCACTTGAGAAGAAAAGCACTCAGAATATGGATGTCATCATTTGCAAATATAGTATAATTTAATTTAATTCCATCTATGTATGTATGTATGTATGTATGTATGTATGTATGTATGTATGTATGTATCTATCTATCTATCTCCCTGAGTTGAGACTGGGTCATTAACATCCAGATACTGTATCAACAATATTCAATCCATTCACTTCTTCAAGGAATTCCTACTGAGTGTCTGCCATGTGCCAAGCTTTGAGCAGGTTGCTGGAAAATATAGCAGAGCCCTGACCTGAGGGAATGTAGTCCTTGGAGGAAACCAGAATAAACAAGTGATTTAAAAAAACCCTAGTATAATTTCAGTTAGCGATAAGGAACAGGAAGAAAATAAAAGGGAGTACTTGATAGGGAATGCCTGGTAGGGGTGTGGGGTGTGGTGGAATTTTCCTGGTAGTCAAGGAAGCATTTCAGGAAGATGACTTTTGTACTGAGATAAGAAGGAGCCAGCCACCTACAGATCTGGGGAGGAATTGTACCAGACTCAAAAAACTGCAAGTCTGAGGAAAGAAAGTGCATGCAACAGGAGCTTAGGGACACAGAGGAGGAGAGTCTATACTGGGTTTTGAGAAATAGGTAGTGAGCAGGCACATGAGTTCCAGGAATAAAGGGCTCTTGGATTTTGTTCCAAGTGAAGTAGGAAGTCCCTGGCGATTTAAAGAGAAGGATGTTTTTATCTA